GGGAAAACTATAGCTGCAACTATAAACACCAAATAATTATCCAGCTTATTTATGTGACAATTTTTGAAATAAACGTAAAGTAGAAATGAGAAAATTTGACTGTAATTCCTTTAGAATAACAGGTAACACTGATTTTAAAAAGAAATTCACCAGCTTTGTATCGAAATCTGTCTGGGGAAATCCAGCTATAAACAGCTATGAAAGTCAAAGTTGCAACTGAAATTCGCTGACAAACAGCCGGCGCTGAAGCTTTTGTTTTTCGACCGTTCTCTGAACGACTGTTATGAATGAACACTGAGGAACAAAATAATACACACAGAAGTTATTTTTTGAAAAATTTATTTGAAAACCAGAATGTTTCTGTACTCAAATGAAATTCGCTTATTCCAGCGTTATGTGCCCGTTTAAACTCAACTAAAATTTTTAATCGATGCGATGAAAACTTCACAACAAAGCTGGCTCGAATTTGAGCGTGTTTCCTAAAATATTTGCTTGAATTTAGCATCAGCTTGACCAAAAAGTCAATAACACAATGCTAATTGATAAATTTACATTTCAAACAGACTTTCTCTTCTATAAAAAACACACAAAATGTACCTTAAATCTTCGCTCGCTCGATTTTCCTTCAGCCGATTCTAGGCTCTAGCCGCGAGGAAAACAGTGATTCATTCATCCAGGGCAAATTTGTCGCTTGATCTTTTGTCTTTTTTCCTTCAAAACGACAGCTTAGTATTTTCTTCAACTTCCACTTTTTATCTGTGCATTCCATTGGTGTATTTTACCGTCAGGAGAGGAGATTTGTTGAATTTGCCTAAATTTTACCGCGCTAGCTCAGTTCCTTGGCGTGCACCCACGGGCAAATGGTAGTGGCTAACTGACCAATCAGAGCGCGCGATTTACTTTTGTTATGTTATAAAACACATTTGTGAAAGTTGCAGTCACGATTGACTTCGAACATTCAAATATAAAACTAGAGAGCTCTGAGGCTTATTTGCTGAAGTTAGGGAAAAATATGTCGTGGGATTTCGAAGTTATTTACATTTTTCGTAAAAATGCGGTTTTAAAAATATGTCGAGATCTCAGAGGTTTTTATACCTACAAGAAAATAAATAACATTTTTTTAAGGATACCAAAACTCATAGAAATCGGTTGAATTGTTCCTTCTGAAAAACGCCAATCAAAAACATATGCAACACGCATATAAATAGGTTCGGGCCTACGGGTCTATGGGCTGGTTACACCCGTGTTATCTATCGTTATATAAGTTTAGAAAAAGAAAGCGACAATTTTTGTGTTGTGTTCACCTATCCCATAAAGCGGGCTCGTGGAATTAGGAAGTTTCATGTCGTAGTGGTGCAACGACAGCAAACAAAAAGTACAAAATAGCGTGATGCAAGTACAAAGTTGTTGTTTGTTAATATCCCCAGAACGTATTATTTTTTGCCCTTCACCTTGCCGTCGCCGTCGTTGTTGGTTTTGTTGTAATCCAGAAATAGTGCTACCATGGTTACGTGACGTCACACTTCTCCTCTCTATTGACCAAAATATGGATGTCCATTATCAAGTTAAACACGGGTTACAGTCATCCACACTAGCTACCGTAGAAAGTTTAACATTTTACATTGGTTTCCCTGTGGTGCAGACGGACGGACCGACGGTCATGTGATTACCAAAATTTCTCGGATGGACAGATTACCAAATTTTCTTAGGTATAGGGCTCCGCTCGCGCGCGCGTGGAACTCCGCTATAAAACAGACATTAGTGTCATGGGTGTTCGCTTAAATCAGGTCTATTTGACGATAAAAAATTCAGCACCGGTAACGTTGTGACCCTTTGTTCTTTCGTTGAAACAAAGCAGCAAACTACTATCAAGTGTTCGCAACCATGGCTTCCTTGGGGGTTTGTTTAGTTACACGTCACAAGGTGACTGTCGCTTGGGAGTTTCCAAATATTGACTCTTGCACAAAAAGGGCCAAAACGGAAACCTCCAGAAAAATAATAGCCGATACCATATTCCACGTGACTATAATTCCCATTATGTCAAACCCAATGTTTGGAAGAACGTTCTGTAGGTAGGATATATACTTTTCAAAGTTAAACTTGGGTTTCTTTGCGTTGTGCTTCATCTTTCCAACGGCCCTAGCAGCACCACGAAGAACGAGATCCATGACCTCTCGTCGTGATCTCTTCGGGCGCTGTTCCTTTTCTTCAATATTCTCGTCTTCAGACACTTCCACGCTGTTTGGTTCGTGTTGGTGCGGCTTCGCGTCATCGCCCGAATTCTCTGGATCGCTTAAATGTTTCGGACTAAGGTGGGTCTGGCCGGCGTAACTTCGGATGTTCGGTACGTCTTCGACCCCGGACTTGGCTTCACTGTCTGACTGTGATGTCAGGGGAGCAGAATTTGCTTTCTGTATCGGAAGGTGGTTGGCTTTACGAGCGTTTTTCTTTGCGCTGCTAACTCGTCTCCATAGACTTCGTCCACGTTTGGTATTCGTTTGTTTCTCGTTTTTCCGATGCCTCTCCGACTCAGCCTCCTCTTCTTCGGAGCTGCTCTCGGGTCTTTCGGCCCAGGCTTTTACTACCACCGCCAGGTACCTAGAGGACAGGTTATTGAGCAAAATGGAATTTGTAACATTAAAAACGTACTTTTTGAAGTGCCAATGTATTGAACACAAAGGTAGCAACTGAGGACACAGTTTGACATCTCCTACTGGAGAGAGAATCGCCATTTCTACGTGGTCATCCCACAGGTTTTTCAGGCTCATAACAGCCTCCTCGAAGCCAAAGACGATCATAGGGCAGGAAACAGTCAGAAAACAACACAAAGAAATCTCTTTAAGAGGTATGCACACTTGAATGGCTGTTTATGTGCATTTTAACCGTTTTATTGAACTTACGATAAATTCCCGTAAAAATCCTTATAATTTGGGTTCGAGGAGGCTATTGTTAGCATGGGTTCCCTGTGGTCATCCTAACCAAGAGAGGATCTAACCCTTTGCGGGGCAAAGGGAGTAACTTCATTTCTCAGTTATATTAAAAGCCTTTAATACTGGTCTGGCACCGCGCGTGATCGAACCCGGGACTTCTAGCTCACACTGATTAACTCTACCTACTACCTACGCAGTCTTCATATAGTAGCGCCCTACCGATTAACATGCTGTCTAGAGACCCCAGAGGAACAAATATAATGTATATACTAAGTATATATACCCTTTCTAACCCACTTTTCCTTAAAATACTGCCCTGGGTAATAGAGGTTTTCATCTCGCGAACGGCTGGATGCTTCGTTGTCGGCCGCAGGGCGACAGATCTTCGGCCGGCGAAGCTGTGAGAAAAAAAACTTTTCGCGCGCGTCACTATAAAGACTTGACCGAGGCCGAAAACTGCGCATTAAAAGTCTCTGGTACCCGGGGTATCAAAATACATTGTTAGGTAATAAATATTGCTGGTTTGCACGTGACGTCACGGCGGCCATGTTGGTAGTCAAGAACAAAAGCATTTCTCTCCTCTGGGAACTAAACTCTATTTTCATGTAAATTCTTCGAGAAAAAATTCTATTGTATTGATCCCAAACATGGCGGCCTTGTCACCTGGTTGCAAACCAAGAATAAAGAAGAATTTCCGAGCTTAGACTGGACTTGACTAGACTTTTTTAACATGATCAGCTCGCCTTTCAGAATCGTTTCTTGAAGATATGATTTATTTTTCACATACCAGGAATATTGCTTTGTGACCCAGGCAGCCATGCATAATGGGTAGATCGCTGAGATACTGGGGAGTAACGCGTAAATGGCAAACACGCTCATCCTGGTCTTGTATAAAAACAGAAATGCGTTGACTGCCAGCGAGGCGATACTGTAAACCAACAGGACTGCAAGTGATACCTGAAAGGAGCGATGACATCGATCTAGAGATCAGAGTACGGACGACAAGAAATACACTTGTATATAATAAAAATCATAAGTCTTAACTTTTGCTACACATGCTCATTTTAGCACTTGGAAATAATTTTTGTATTTGAAATCTTATGGTACTCCCAGCCAACCGGTCAGTCAGTCGTTTGGTAGGTCGGTCAGTGAGCTGGCTAGTCGGTGAGCCAGTTAGTCAGTCAGTCAGTCAGTCAGTCAGCCAGCCAGTTAGTGATTCAATTAGTCAGTCAGTCAGCTAGTCAGCCAGCCAGCAAGCCAGTCAGTTAGTCAGTCAGTGAGCCCTCTAACAACCATTTTAGTCATCTGTCACGTGATTCGATCAGTCTATCTGTAAACTAACTGTAACGTGACATCTTACCCTGCATACTGACGCTGACTTTCTCACAAACTTTCCTCTCTCTGCGAATGACACCACCGCTTGTCTAAATGTGATAAGTGAGTCTCTGTTGACCAGGTGTGATCTTATCTCAGCTGAAGAATAGGCAAGGAATACTGTCAATAATTGGACAATTTGTCAATAAGAACTTTATCTGGCAGTTATTCTATAGATTAAGACAATTTGCTGTCGCTCTAAGCGGATTCCACCATCTCAACTGCTCTTACATACTAGAAACACTAAAGGTGCTAACCAATGATAAACACACCCATCAACCCAGGGGCGGATCTAGGGGGAGGGTGCAGGGGGTGCGAACCCCCCCCCCCCCCCCCCCCCCCCCCCCCCCCCCCCCCCCCCCCCCCCCACCTCCCCTCTCGGTCTCGCAACAACTCAGAGACGCAGTGTTGTTGTGTGTTATAGTGAGGACGAGGGGACGCGCACCCAGACAAACCACACCCCCACAACACACGACCACCCCCCCCCCCCCCCCCCCCCCCGAGATGACCTGCGGTTTTGTGATACAACTGGTATTCTGCGAAAAAAAACTACGTGGTTTTTTGGTGTTGAAGTAGAGCAAGAGACGAGTGCACCCCCTCCTAAAAAAAATCGTGGATCCGCCCCTGCAACCATGGGGTAAACCTTGTGTCGGTATCAACGGTATTTCAGTCTTAGCACTATAGCAAGCTTACATACCGTGAAACTCGATCATAGAAAATCCCGTCATATGCATCACACAAACGGTGAAGCTCCAAAACAGTCCAAAGGCAGACATAACATAACAGCCTGCTAAATATCGCACCACTTTGAGTATGATAAGAGCGTAATCTGGGATCTCGGAATCTTTCCTGCTCAGGTCGATCTTGAGGTCCAGTGTCTCATCAACGTACAGGCAGACATAGATACCTGAGCCACAGACAAGTCCAAATATAACGGCGAATATTGGTAACCACTGAAGAGAGAAAAAGGAAGAGTGCTATAAAGGTGATGTTACGGGACGATTCGCAACGACGATTTTTAGCGCAACACAACGTTGCAACGTTGGAACAATGTTGTAACTATTCGAAACAATGTCGCAACAATATTGCAACGCTGCGTTGCGCTAAAAGTCGTCGTTGCAAATCGTCTCGTGTAACATCACCTTAAATCTTACGCTATGTTCACACCATACCGGGTAACTTTTCGTGCCGACTGGAACAAGTCGTTCGCACACATCGAAGATCGAGCCGGAGCGGTTGGCCGAGAGGGATTGGTTCTCCAAATCCCAATCCCCACTCCTAAATATTTACTTCCGTCTCAGTGGGTTCTACGTATCCACTTCCGCTTCGGTCTGAATACCTGTTCACACTACACAAAAATGTGTGGCACGGAACCGATCCGATATGTGTCGTTCCACTTTCGAGATCGGCTGCCCCGTTGCAGAAATCGCGCCGAAATCACAGTGCTCACGCGTGAACACAGACGCTCTATGCGGTAGAGGGTGAGCATAGCCTTAGTCAATTCCAAGCGCTACTATTCCCCACCCCCAACCCCGTCGCAGCAAATAAAGATACCACGAAGGCGATGGCGGTGAAAACGTCACTTGACAAAATGACTTCGCGTTGTTTGAAACTTCCGCGTGACTATCCCACTCTCGTTCACTCTGCCGAATAAGCAATTTTAGGAGCAGCATTCACCTCTTTAAAGTTTTGCATTGCGAAAGGTTGGCGCCAAAAGCCACTTTATTTGCTTCTTACTTGATATTTAGTCTAACCTTAAAAACCTTTGCAAATCTAGCCAACGTCTTTGGATACTTCTTGTTTTCTTCCAGAATCAGCAGTCCCTTTTCAAGCCAAGGTAAAATTCTTCTATTAGAGAAAATCGTGCACACGAGGCACACAATCACGAGACTTATCGATACTGATGCCCATCCATAAGTGTACTTCTGCCTCGCTGCTAAGAAATCTAATGCTCCATGAACGGATAGCATTCCAAGCCACAAAATACCGCCAAAGACACCCTGAATACGGTAACAATGATGCGTGTAGCCAGTAAAAGTTGCTGCAAGCAAAACAGGTCTTAAAACTTCGAACGTTTTAGTAGATGGCATGTCAATGGTCCCTGTCTGGATTCCTGGGTTTGGTGTTTCTATGGGCAGGGAAATGTTTCCTTTTCCTCTTTTACCGAACAGTTTACGAAACATGGTGGTGTCGAGGTGAGGGCGGCTTCTAAAATGAAAACAAATAAAACAGATTTAGCTGATTATTTGCCAAATGATCGCAAATAGAGCTTGTAGCGAGTGTTGGGCAAAGACGAAATCCCGGCGCGGGTTTCTAGTAGCTCTGTGGTAAAGGCGACCAACCTGCGTATGGAATGCAAATGGGGTCGAACCAAGACATTTCCTTATTACAGTCAACTTCCGTTATTGCGGACACCCTCGGGGGAAGATTTAGTGTCCGTAATAGCGAGAGTCCGTAAAAGCGGGGTACAAGAGAAAAAAATTGTTTTCTCTTTAAACTTACGAAATGATATGGAAAATTCGCAGAAGCCTTGTAGTCTCGACAATTCTTTACTTCTTTATTTATATGGACCATAAAAGATTAAAGATAATAAGTAAATAAATATGCTGTATTAATTACTTCCAAGCTCTTTCAATGACAAGGGAAACATAAGAAAGGGGTTTAAAAACCAAACGAAAAGGGGGGGGGGGGACCTCCCCGGCCGAAAAAGTCCCCAGCGCAATTGGGACATGCCTATTACAGACCCATCTACTTGAACTGTAAACCTGCAAAAAACTTCATTCGATTATAAGTTCCCTCTAGCCCCAGTAATAAGCCCTCCCTCTGAATTTGATTTATTTAGACGTTTTGAAGCTTAATAAAAACCAGTAAATGCAAAACGTATTCTGATCAGCACTGCAAAAGTTTGTCTTGAAGGTTTTTTTTCTAATCCCGCCGTCTAAGACTCTAAATGCCCCCTCTTCATATTTAACAATGTCGATCCTCATATCTACAGACTGACATCTGCTTACATACATGTATGTATAGAATATAGACAAATTTTAGCCTTTATTCCGGGGGGGTACTCAATATATCCTTGGGTGGGGAGGTGCGGCCCGGTCCCTCATACCCTGACCCGGTTTAAGACAAAAATCGCTGATTATCCTACCCTGTTTAAGACAGAATTCCGATTTTTGATACCCTGTTTAAGACATTTAACCCAAAACCATATCTTGTGTAAGACAATAATAAATATCGAAACTCTTTCTCGTTTAATCCATCTGCAATCACAAAATTATTTAAAAAGATACCCTGTTTAACACAAAAAATGATAAAATCGATAACCTGTTTAAGACAAAAATCCTGAAAAACATACCCTGACTGGCCGCACGTCCCCATTAAACCCTTATAAGGGAGTACCCCCCGGACTTTATTTTGATTTAAGATCTATAACATAAATAATGTAGGTAATACCACGTACTCCCGTGGGAATACTGAAATAAAGTTGTTGAATATATTAAAAGCCCCTCAGTTAAAAAAAAAGCATAAAAGTGAGACAGTACCGTTTAAAAACATAGGAAAATAAATAGAAGGTTAATTAATTCACACTAAGTATTCATACGCTTCTAGAAAATAATGGGAGAACTGTGGGAGACGAACTATTTCTGAAACCTTTCACAAATTTTAAAACTGACAACATCACTCAGTCAAACTAAACTCTTCTAGTCAATACGTCAGCCGCCGCAAAAGCTGTAAGGATTTTGTTTCGTATTGAAGGGCATTTTCTTGCTTTTCATTGAAAAATATAATTATAGTTTTTGTAGTCAAAACAATGTGTTTTATCTGGTAGAGTATAACTCAAAACAACCAAAATGATAATTGCGCAAATCAATGCAGACCACTGTAAGTCAACAGATATTTAAAATAAATAAACAACCCTAACATGGTTTGGGCTTTATCATAACAGACTGTGATATACATACGAAATTTATCTTATTTATTCCGCCAAGAAAACAGTAATTGCATCGAGTGGTGTAATAAGATTGAAATTTAAACGCGGAACCTTTTCTCGATAATTGCTATAATTATGCTGAATGCGCTGCAGGAGCCTGAAGTCATCACCGATGAACTACAATCGATCGATCGTTCGAACATTTGATAGTGATTTCTGGCGAATCTTGCCTCCAGCCACCTCAATTTGACTTGGACGTTCCAATTTGTTTTTGAAACAGACTGCCGCCTAAAACTTTTAAAGCTCCGCCGTGTGTATATTGATCCTCGCTGACGACCATAAACACAATGATCTAAACGTAAGACCAATATTTCGCAAGCTAGTATCATATCTCAGATATCTGAGAAATGAGTATAGCATTGTGAAAAACAGATAATTTACATTCAAGAGAAATACCAATACGGCAACGTTTGCAGTATTGATAAAATTGATGAATAAAAAGATGTACGAAAATGTGTCAATTTCACAAGTACATTTCAGGAGTGAAATGGACATGTCAAAAGTAAACATTACCTCTCGCATAGTGGAACATTCTGATCGAGTTGGCACGGCTTCCAAGTAGACTAGAGCAAATCGTGTTCGTTTTCAAACAAACGAGTTGGCAAATGCAAGATTCTGTGCGTTATTTGAAGGGAAAAGAAACGTTTTCCTAATCAATCGAAAAGCTGAGAAGAGTGACTGCTTTCTCGTTGCATGACGCGGTAGTCAATTGACACAAGACGTCAACACTCAACGCTACGCACCTTCATCTAAGTAAATAATATGAGTAAATCTGGCCGATTGGACAATCAATTCAAGTTTGCAGAAGAATATGAAATAAACAGAGTTTTTGTACTATAATTGGTCGTTAGAATCGCCGAATTTGAGTCCTGTGAAAACTTCAGTTCTGTTCTCAGTCTGTTCCTTCAGTTACAACGCAATTGCTTCTAGTTCCCAACAAAACTACCTCTCTTTTGACCCTTTTGTCGCACCGAGGAAAGCAACAGTCGCTTCACAAATAAGATCAAAGACCATCAGAAGTGAAGTGTGTTGTTAAATGAAAGCTGTTTGTCTGATCTTCAATAAAATACAAGTGGGACATTGGAAAATTATACCTACTGACAGACCGTTTACGTCATCTCTTGAATCAGCGTTGTGTTTCTGCAGTCCGCTGCATTCTTTGACTAAACCGTCATTTCCCCAGATTTCTGCTTGTTTGCGTTATCACCCCGTCAATATTTTTCCTTCTAAATAATTTTTATGACAAGATAACCAAAACACGGACGATACTGACTTTTGATCGCTATGAACAACGGCGGATATTTGCATATCACGCTCATAAATTAGGCTGTCAATGAAGACTGATTACCTGAACAAAGAAAATTATTGCTCCAGTGGCCTTTCTGGTCTCCCTCCTGCATTTCTGTGTCGCCTTGAAGAAACCATTGTTCTCGCCCCCTCTCTATCCTCAAGGAGTGTTGCTAGCCTGCGGGCGAACTCTGCTCTCTAATTCTCGGGGGTAGCGGGGTGGGGGAGAGCGCCCCTGGAGAGCTTGCTCCCAGGCTCACGGTTGTTTCAGAAGGCGCGAGAGAGGAAATATAGAATACAGAATACACTGTAATCGGAAAGCTCTACTTACAGCCACCTTCACAAAACCCCGTTTTTCTCGACCCCCATACAAACTCTGTACTTTTCCATTCCGGTAATGTATCGGTCAAATCGAAGCTTCAACATGCCCCCCCCCCCGGGCAACCCCTCGGGCATTTGACTTTTTTGAAAATTATTGTTCAAATTCCCCCCTACCCGGGCTAAAATGCCGTTCAAATGCCCCACACTAGAGTCCATTCAGGTGGGACATTTCACAGGCACAAAAATGACAGAAAGACGGTGGAAACGCCTTCAGTTGTGGAACACAATCTTTATAAATATAACAAAAACTGAGAAACACTGTTAGCGTATTTACTACGAACAAAAGTCTCGTGCAAAGCGGCGGAAATCGCTGCTACAAGGTAACTGAATGCTCAGCTTTTTTTCGTCATGCAACATACAAAGCCTTCTATAAAAAAAAATCCCACCTATTGAGATCACCGCGTCCCACATGATAGCTCGCCACGCCAAAGATTTTACATGAAATCCCCCATCCCTAAAGCATGGGGATCAAATTCCCCACCCCCTGGAAGACTCTGATAATCAAATTCCCTCCTTCCCGGGACGGCAAAGGTGTCAAATGCCCGGGGTATACCCGGGGGGGTCATGTTGAAGCTTCGATTTGACCGATACATAAGCGGCCAGCTCCAGTTACGGGCACTATTTTCGCGTCCCGAGGGTTTCCGCCTACGAGAGCTTCCACTGTACTTCATGGAAAGTGCTAGCGTACGGTATTTGCGGGCTTACGTATCACTCACTCGTTCGATTTCTGATACAAAAACAACGAGTGTGTATTTACCGTACTAAGCAATTTCCATGTGGTTTTATGTTTATTATATACATACTGAGACATTCATCATTTTCAGGCAGCCTTTTTATTTCAAATCATTCCAAAATGCTAAAATTTGCCGCTACTCGCAGCGAAGTGACAAACAAAAAGAAGCATCAGCTTATTAGTAAAAACGTTTGTTAATAATATTAATGAGGGTAAGGATATGAGGTAATCCAAGAATTACAAGTAATGTTAACTTTTCGTTCCGAATGTACAATTGAAAATAAATGAATTTAACTAAAATGGCCGATTTGAATATAGAAGACAAAATATCACTGATCAAAAAGCACAACTTAAGCTTACGTCTCGTTCTGTTTTCCCCCACTCCGCTGTTGTTTAGCCTGCTCCCTATAATTCTATTCATCGAGAGAGAAATACACGGAACTATTCCGCTCTAATTTCTGAGATGTTTTTCACTTTTTTACGAGAAAAACTCTTCTAGAGAAACTTTTCTCGTTGAATGTCTGCGAAGCACTCGCAGAGCCTAAGTTAGCCTGTTGCTTTCCGCAGTGCGTTCTAGACTCCCTTTCCCTCCCGCCACAAAAGTCAAGATAGATAAGAATCAGAGAGATAAACTCCGGGAGATGGAAGAGGGGGATGGGGGGTTAAATGCCACTGTTTTGGCGGACATATTTTATTTTCACCATCCGCTCCCGCAATTTGTCGCTCTTACCTGTTTTGGGGGCAAATAAACCCTGAGCCGCATCCTGATTGTTCTTAGGATACAGACCTTCAGAAAGGGGGGGGGGGGGTTTCAAAAATTTTTTTTGGCCCTCCGGCCCTACCTGGGGTAAAAAAAAGGGGGTGGCACCAGCCCCCC